GTGGACATTCTATGTGTGTCAGGTTTTCAGAAAAGAGCTAGAAAGTTAACCCTAGGTAAGATTAGTCCCTGGAGAAAGAGATAAATGGGTTTGTTAGCCCTTGACCCATGAGAAGTCACTGGTTGCAGCAGATGGCTGAGTCTAGTGCCAAATTGAATACTGGTGTAGACTTTTGAGAATGTCTTGTAGTTTCTGGAAATAGCTCCTTGATTGCCCTTTTATACAATTTTAGATTATCAAACTGAGTGATATAACCTTTTGGAGGGATAAAGGACTGCCTTTTAAAAGAGAATAAAGTATCCTCTAAGTCCAATGAAAAGAGACCATAGTCATGTAGTTAACTTCTAAGACAGTTGATTTAAAACCTTTGTCTAGTAAGTAAATGCCTGTGCTTCTTCAGTAACCATTTCTATTGATTTTTTCTTCTCCTTTTTTTCCTGTTTTTTAAAATCCATTTTGATTTTATTTTTGTGTATGGTGTAAGTAGTGGTCCAATTTTCCCAACACCATTTTTTGAAGAGACTGTCTTTTCCCCATTGTATAGTCTTGCCTCCTTTATTGTAGATGAATGGACCATATAAATGTGGGTTTACTTCTGGGCTCTCTGTTCTGTTCTATTGATCTATGCATCTATTTTTGTGTAAGTATAGGTTTTTTTTTTTATTACTACAGCTTTGTAGTATATCTAGAAATCTGAGGCTGTGATACCTCTGCCTTGTTCTTTTTTCTCGATTGCTTTGGCTATTCAGGGTCTTGTTGTTCCATACAAATTTTAGTATTTGCTCTAGTTCTGTGAAATGATGTTGGTATGTTGATAGAGATTGCATTAAATCTGTAGATTGCCTTGGGTAGTATGGACATTTTAATAATATTGGTTCTTCCAATCCATGAGCATGGAATTTTTTAAATTTGTGTTATCTTCAATTTAATTCATCAATGTTTCATAGTTTTTGGAGTACAGACCTTTCACTTCCTTGGTTAAGTTTATTCCTAGGTATTTTATTATTTTTGGTGCAATTGTAAATGGGATTGTTTCTCTTAATTTCAAATTGGACAACAGAAGAATTTGTAACCTTCCAAAACTGAATCAGGAAGAAATAGAAAATTTGAACAGACTGATTACTAGCAATAAAATTAGATCAGTATTCAAAAAGCTCCCAACAAAACTCCAGAAACAGATGGGTTCACAGACAAATTCTATCAAACTTTAAAGAAGAATTAATATTTGGTCTTCTCAAACTATTCCAAAAAATAGAAGAGGAAGAAAAGCTTCCAAATTCATTCTATGAGGCCAGCATTACCCTGAAACTAAAACCAGATAAAGATACTACAAAAAAAGAGCTACAAGCCAATATCTCTGATGAACATAGATGCAACAATCCTCATCAAAATACAAGCAAACTGAATCCAATAATACATTTTAAAAAATCACTCATCACTATCAAGTGGAATTTATTCGAGGGATGTAAGGGTGGTTCAGTATTTGCAAAACAATTAATGTGATACATCACATCAAGAGAAAGGATAAAACCATATGATCATCTCAATAGATGCAGAAAAAGCAGCTGACAAAGTATACATCCCATTCATGATAAAAACTCTCAAATCAAAGTAGTTTTACAGAGAACATACCTCAACATAATAAAGGTCTTATATGAAAAGCCCACAGCTAACATCATACTCAGTGGAGAAAAACTGAGAGCTTTTCCTCTAAGATCAGGAACAAGGATGTCCATTCTCACCACTCTTATTCAACATGATACTGGAAGTCCTAGCCATAGCAATCAGACAAGGAAAAGAAATAAAGGCATCCAAATTGGTAAGGAAGAAGTACTATTTGCAGATGACATGATTATATACATAGAAAACCCTAAAGAGTCCATCAAAAAACTGCTAGAATTGTTAAATGAATTCAGTAAAGTTGCAGGATACAAAATTAATATGCAGAAATTTGTTGCATTTCTATATACTTCTCCTCTTTTTAAATTAATGGACTCTATTTTTTTAGAGACGTTTTAGTTTTATAGAAAAATTGAGCAAATAGTCCAGGAGTTCCCATAGACCCCTTCTCCACTCTGTATACTTTTCTTATTACAACATTTTGCATTAGTGTGGTACATTATATAATTGATATATTATTGTTAACTAAGGTCCATAATTTACATTTGGATTCAGTCTTTGTGTTGTATAGTTGTGTGGGCTTTGACAAATGCAGAAGGTCCTGTATTCACCATTACAATATCATATGGAACAGTTTCACTGTCCTAATAATCCTCTGTGCCCTGGTTATTCATCCCTCTCCTCTCCCAAACGCTAGCAACCATTGATCTTTTTATTTTCTCTTTAGTTCTGCCTTTTTATGAATGCCATAAAGTTTGAATTATACAGCATGTAGCCTTTTCATATTTGTGTCTTTTACTTAGAAATATGCATTTGGTTCCTCCATTTCTTTTTGTGGCTTGATCACTCCTTTCTTTTCAGCACTGAATAATATTCCATTGTATGGATGTACCATAGTTTGTTTACCTTTCTACCTACTGAAGGACATCTTGTTGCTTTCAGTTTTTGGTAGTTGTGAATAAAGCTGCTAAAACATCTACATGCAAACTTTTTCAGTGGACTAGATTTTCAGTTCATTTCATTAAATACCTAGGAGTGTGATTGATGGATCATATGGTCAGAGTATATTTATCTTTGTAAGAAACTGGCAGACTGTCTTCCAAAGTGTCTGTACCATTTTGAATTCCCACCAGCAATGACTGAAAGTCCCTGTTGCCCCATAGCCTCACCAATATTTGGTGTTGTTTCAGGATTTTGGCCACTCTAATGGTATCTCATTATTTTAATTTGCAATTCTCTGATGACATATGATATTGAGTATCTTTTCATATGGTAATTTGCTATTTGGTGAGGTCACTGTTCAGATCTTTTGTCCATTTTAAAAATTATTTATTTATTTATTTATTTTAAGATTTTATTTATTTATTTGACAGAGAGAGAGAGAGACAGTGAGAGAGGGAATACAAGCCGGGGGGCTTGGGAGAGGGAGAAGTAGGCTTCGCACTGAGCAGGGAGCCTGATGCAGGGCTTGAACCCAGGACCCTGGGATCATGACCTGAGGCGAAGGCAGACGCTTAACGACTGAGCCACCCAGGTGCCCCTCTTTTGTCCCTTTTTAAATTGCTATTTTCTTATTGCTGAATTTAAGGGTTTATTGTACATTTTGAACACAAGTCCTTTATCAGATATGTGTTGCGTAAATATTTTTTCCCAGCCAGGGGCTTGTCTTCATTGTCTTAATGATGTCTTTTGCAAAGTAGAAAATTTTTAATTTTAGTGAAGTCCAACTTAACAATGTTTTCTTTCATGGATTGTGTTTTTGATGTTGTATCTAAAAAGTCATCTCCAAACCCAAGGTCACCTAGTTTTTTCTCTATATTATCCCCTAGAAGTTTTTTAGTTTTACAGTTTACATTTAGATTTATGATCCATTTGGGGCTAATTTTTGTGCAAAGTGTAAGGTCTGTGTTAGATCCTCCCCTCTTTTTTTTGATCTTGTTGTTGCATGTGGATGTCTTATAGTTCCAGCACCATTTGTTGGAAAGACTGTCTTTTCTTTACTGAGTTGCCTTTGCTTCTTTGTCAAAGATCAGTTGGCTATATTTGTGTGGGCCTATTTCTGACTTACTCATTCTGGTCTGTTGATCTGTCTGTCCATTTTTTCACCAATACCATATTGTCTTGTTTACTGTAGCTTTATAGGAAGTCTTGAAGTTGGGTAGTGTCACTTCTCTAACTTTGTTCTTTTTTTTCTCCCATAGATGGATAATACTTTGTAATTTATTTGCATGCCTTCTATTGTTTAAAGTAGGCATTTTGGGGGCACCTGGGTGGCTCAGATGGTTAGGCATCTGCCTTTGGCTAAGGTCATGATCTCCAGGTCCTGGGATCGAGCCCCATGTTGGGCTCCCGGCTCAGCGGGGAGTCTGCTTCTCCTTCTCCCTCTGCCACTACCCCCCTGCTCATGCTCTCTCTCTCTCTGTCTGTCTCAAATGAATAAATAAAATCTTAAAAAAAAATAAAGTAGGCATTTTGAATATTGTAATATGGTAACTCTGGAAATATTACAATGTAGTAACTCAGATTCTCCTCACTCCTAGGGTTTGTTGTTGCTGCTTGTCGTGGGGTGTGGTTGGTTGTTTGCTTAGTGACTGCTCTGAAGTATTGTGTAAGGACTGTATTCTTTATGTCTGGCCATTGAATTCTCTATTCCATTAGCTTAGTGGCTAGCTAGTGCTTTGATGGAGATTTTCTTAAACACCTAGAGAAAAAATAAAACAAAACTTCTGATCTTTGTAGATTGGCTCTGTGTTGATGCATTTCCTCAATGCTTATCCAGGCTATTCACAACTCTGCCTTAGCCTTCACTTTATGCTTTCACAAAGCCAAAGGTCAGCCAGAGGTGAAAGTTTAGGATTTTCTTAGATCTTTTGAGCTTCCATACAGCCCTGGACATATGTGTAGCTTTCTAGATTTCATGGTATACATAGAGTTTTCCAAAGACCCCCCATCTCTTTTCCCAGGCTCTTCTTTCCCTGGCTTTTTGGTATGTGTGCTGTTTGTTACATTTGTTATTCCTTGTTCCAGGTGCCTGTGGCTAGTATGTTTGCCTTTAAAGATTTTCAGTAAACATTACCCAGGAGGCTGCTCCAGCCCTGAGAAAATTCTGAAGAGGGTGAAACAAAGCCAAGCCTCTGAGTGGATCCCTCAGAGAGTGCCCAGACAGGATAAAACACAACCATAATTCTTGGGTAATAATGTCTGTATTTCCTCCCCTGGCACCAGCAAGCTGCATAACTGGGAAAATATCACACTTCAGTATGTGGACAGAAATGACTCTGATAGTGAATGAAAAGATCATTGAGATTTTGTGTTTTAAAAGTGGAGGTTTGAGAGCAATCATCCAATATTTATACATCTTAATGTTATTATATTTCTAGAATTTGGACACATAGCCAGAAGTTCTGAAGAACAGCAACAACCATTTCGGGAATAGCCAGTTCAACATCATGACCAAAGACAAAGACTCTATCACAGGAAGCTTTCATTTTGTGTACATTGTGACCTTAATAGTTGGAACCATAATCCAGTTCTCTGATGAAAGTGAATTTGCAGTAGACATGTCAAATATGAAGCTTATTCATGTCCCAAAAGACCTGCCACCAAAAACCAAAATCTTAGATCTGTCTCAGAACAACATATCTGAGCTTCACATCTCTGACATGAGCTATCTCTCAGGGCTAAAAGTTTTGAAACTTTCTCATAATAGAATCTGGTGCCTTGATTTTAGCATTTTCAAGTTCAACCAGGATTTGGAATATTTGGATTTATCTCACAATCAGTTACAGAATATATCCTGCCATCTTATCACAAGTCTCAAGCATTTAGACCTCTCGTTCAATGACTTTGATGTCCTGCCCATCTGCAAGGAGTTTGGCAACCTGACGCAACTACATTTTTTAGGATTAAGTGCTACAAAGTTACGACAACTAGATCTGCTACCAATTGCTCATCTGCATCTAAGTTATATCCTTCTGGATTTAGAAGGTTATTCTGCAAAAGAAACAGAAAGTCCTCAAATTCTGAATACAAAAACACTTCACCTTGTTTTCCATCCAAATCAGTTATTCTCTGTCCAAGTGAACATATCAGTTAATAGTTTAGAGTGCTTACAACTGACTAATATTAAATTGAATAACAACAACTGTGGAGTTTTAATTAAATTTTTATCAGGACTCACTAGAGGTCCAACTTTACTGAATTTTACTCTCAAACATGTGAAAACAACTTGGAAATGCCTGGTTAGAATTTTTCAATTTCTTTGGCCCAAACCTGTAGAATATCTCAATATTTATAATCTAACAGTAGTTGAAAGGATTGATAAAGAAGATTTTCATTATTCTAAAACAGCACTGAAAGCATTGAAGATAGAACATGTTAAAAATGAAGTTTTTATTTTTTCACAGACAGCGGTATACACAATTTTTTCTGAGATGAACATTATGATGTTAACCATATCAGATACACCTTTTATACACATGCTTTGTCCTCCGCCATCAAACATATTTAAGTTTTTGAACTTTACCCAGAATGTTTTCACAGATAGTGTTTTTCAAAATTGTTCCCAACTAGTTAGATTGGAAACACTTATCTTACGAAAGAATAAATTAAAAGACCTTTACAAAGTAGGTCTCATGACTAAGCATATGACATCTTTGGAAATATTGGATGTTAGTGGGAATTCTTTGGAATATGATAGACATGATGGAGATTGCACTTGGGTTGGGAGTATAGTGGTGTTAAATTTGTCTTCAAATATACTTGCTGACTCTGTTTTCAGATGTTTACCTCCTAAAGTGAAGGTACTTGATCTTCACGATAACAGAATAAGGAGCATTCCTAAACCAATCATGAAACTAGAAGCTTTACAAGAACTCAATGTTGCTTCCAATTCTTTAGCCCACCTTCCTGACTGTGATACTTTTAGCAGTCTTTCTGTACTGATTATTGACTCTAATTCAATTTCCAACCCATCAGCTGATTTCTTCCAGAGCTGCCAGAAGATTAGGTCCATAAGAGCAGGGAACAATCCATTCCAATGTACATGTGAGCTAAGAGAATTTGTCCAAAGTCTAGGCCAAGTATCAAGTGAAGTGGTAGAGGGTTGGCCTGATTCTTATAAGTGTGGCTATCCAGAAAACTATAAGGGAACCCCACTGAAGGACTTTCACATGTCTCAGTTATCCTGCAACACAACTCTGCTGCTTGTTACCATTGGGATCACTGTGCTGGTGTTGACTCTTACTGTGACTGCTCTCTGTATCTACTTTGATCTGCCCTGGTATCTCAGGATGGTGTGTCAGTGGACCCAGACCCGGCGCAGGGCAAGGAACATACCTTTAGAAGAACTCCAAAGAACCCTCCAGTTCCATGCTTTTATTTCATACAGTGAACATGATTCTGCCTGGGTGAAGAATGAACTGGTACCTTGCCTAGAAAAAGAAGATATAAGGATTTGTCTCCATGAGAGAAACTTTGTTCCTGGCAAGAGCATTGTGGAAAATATCATAAACTGCATTGAGAGAAGTTACAAGTCCATCTTTGTTTTGTCTCCCAACTTTGTCCAGAGTGAGTGGTGCCATTATGAACTCTACTTTGCCCACCACAATCTCTTTCATGAAGGATCTAATAACTTAATCTTGATCTTGCTGGAACCCATTCCACAGAACTGCATTCCCAGCAAGTATCACAAGCTGAAGGCTCTTATGACACAGCGGACTTACTTGGAATGGCCCAAGGAGAAGAGCAAACATGGACTTTTTTGGGCTAATATTAGAGCTGCTTTTAATATGAAGTTAGAATTAATTGCTGAAAACAATGATGCAGAAACTTAAAAAAAAAGTCAGGAAATTCTATTTAAGAAACCGTCATTAACTTGGATTCTGCTGAACATGATGGTTTTGAGTTGCTGTCTAGGTGGTGCCTTTATTAGCTCTACACATTCAGGGAAGACTTAATGGAAACTATATTTCAACTAAGCTAGTGAGCAAGGCTGAAGGCTGAGGTGATGCTCAAACTTGCCTATTACAGGTACCTCAGTCCCTTCTGGTTCAACCATTCTTTTTCAAATGGAAACACTCTTGAGTACATGCCCATTCAAGGACATTTGCTCTCCCTTATCCTTTCCCAAATGGATTCTGTGTGAGCAGGAGATTATGGGACTTCATGGCAGCAAGGAAAGGGTCAACCTCTGAAGTGTACTCAGTGGCCCTGGGAGTGTCTTATGGAGCCTCACTGGCCTCTGGGTGAGCTTTGTCATCCTGTTCAACTTCAGAGCTTGGGAAAGAATTAGACCAGTTATGAAAAATAAAGATTTTTTGTTCACATCTGAGTATATTATTAAATTTATGACCCTGCTACACAAATATGTAGTTAACCAGTGGGGACTTATGACTTAATAATTTATGTATATAAGGGAAAATACAGTTGACTCCTGAACAACATGGGTTTGAACTGCATGGATCCACTTGTACATGGACTTTTTTACAGTGCAATACTATAAATATATTTTCTCTTCCTTATGATTTTCTTACAGTTTTGGTTTTTTTCTAGTTTATTTTTGAGAATATAATACATAATACATATAACATAAAATATGTGTTAATTGACTGTTTATGTTATTGGTAAGGCTTCTGGTCAACTGGAGGCCGATAGTAATTAAGTTTTGGGGGTGTTAAAAGTTATACACACATTTTTGACTAATTAAGTTTTGGGGGTGTTAAATGTTACACACAGATTTTTGACTTCACAGAGGGTCAGCATTCCTAACACCCACATTGTTCAAGGGTCAACTGTATAGCCCTCAGTCACAGGCTATTGAGGGCAAAGACATGGATTTATTTGCTTACAAAGGAAACTCAGAGCCACATTTATTTATAACTGGTTATTGAATAGGGCTTTTTCTGGTTGTCTTAGAATTTTAGCAAATGGCTGCTTTCTTGCTGTGTCCTCAGATGGCCTTTCCTCTGTGTGCACACATCCTGGTGTCTCTTCCTCTTCTAAGAAGGACACCAGTCATATTGGATTAGGGTCCCACCCTTATGACCTCATTTAACCTTACTTACCTCTTCAAAGTCCCTTTCTCCAAAGAGAGTCACATTCTAAGGTACTGGGGGTGAGGGCTTCAACATGTGAATTTTGGAGGGGGCACAATTCAGTCCATAACAGATGACTATGCAGATAAATTAAAAATGTTGTGAGAGAGACTGTAGTTGTCACCAATATCCCTTCACCCTTTATTTAATTAATGTGTGAGTTTTTTTCAGAGCAGCTGACAACCCAGCTAGAGAGTACATTTCCCAACCTCCCTTGCAGCTTCACGTGGACACGTGACTGAATTATGGGTGCGGGATGTAGCTGGAAACTGTGTGCCACTCTGGGTCCTATCTCTAAGAAAATTGCCCCTTCTACCCTTCTACTGGACAGGAGATACGAACTAGAGGATCCATCCAGAACCTGGAGATGAAAGCCACATATGGAGGGCATGCTCCTCAGTGTACCACTTTTGTGCTTTTTAGGCCAGCCTCTCACCCAGCCCTGGAGTGCTCACCTCTTTATGTGAGGCAGAAGTAAACCTGCACCTTGTTTAAACTAAATATGTTCTGGATCTTTCAACAAAGCATCCTCATCTGCACCCTCATGGATACAGTCATTAATGCCTCACAGGCCGTGGTACAGCCTTTGACCTTTTCCTCCCTGTGTATACCTATTATGAGAGGAGAGTGTGTTTAGTCCATTCTGCAACCCCTGCCATCCTGACTAAGCCACCAATACCTGTCACTTGGACAACCTCTGGCCTCCTAACTGTCCTCCTTGCTTTTACTCTTTCCTCACATATTCTCCAAACAGCAATTGGAGGGATTGTTTTTATACTGTAAGTTATATCAAGCTATTCCCCTGCTTTAAACCTTCTAATGACCTCCCCTTACAGTTAGAACAAAAGCCAAGCCCCTCATGACCTGTCATCATGGTCTGCCTTCCTCCCACTCTGAACTTACCTGTGCATCTTTTTCCTGTCTCCCCTTGTCTGCCACACTCCAGCTACAGCTGCCTCTGGCTCTTCCCCAATGTGCCACATGGATTCCCGCCTCTGTCCCCTCTGCACCTGGCACTTGCTACTCTAGAGCAAAAATAATCTAGAGATTATTCTTTCCTCAGAACATGCCTAGCTTGTTCTTGCCATTTGTGTCTCAACTTAAATGTCACCTCTTCAGAGAGACCTCCTGGAATTCCCAACCCAAGGAAACATTCTTCCCAGTCACTCTGGCACCCTGCTCCCTTTGGTTTTCTTTACAGCACACATCACTCTCTAAATTATCTTGTTACTTGTTTTCTGTTTCTGTCCACTAAAATATAAGCTCCAGGAGAAAAAGAACCATCTGCCTCTTGTTTTCTGCTCATCCCCAGTGCTAAGAACAGTGTGGTCCACTGTAGATCTTTAGTACAACTTGTTGGGTGAATGAATAACTCTGAATGGCCACAAGCATAAAATGGCTTTGAAATCCTCATTTTTATCTTAAAACCCCATGCAAATAGAGTGTCCCCTTCCTTTATATTTGTTCAGTGCATTTTACATGCTCCAAATCCATTGCCACAATTTGAGAAGTTTGTCTTAATACGTTTCTCATTGTTAGCACCATAAAAAGAATAAAAATTAAGTACCTCAATAAGGTGACAGGTTAGAAGGAATGGGCCATGGCAAGGATGATTAGGGAGTGCTGCTGGCTTGAAAAGTGTTGGGCAAGGCTGGGGCAGCATAAAGGCCCTGAGGCTTTGGCTGGGGAGACCCTTCAAAGGGAGGCTACATTGGGCACAAAGTTGGAATTGAAAGGGAGCTGTGAGCAAAGAAAGCATCTACCTGGCAGCCTTGCTGGATGTGTTGGTTTTCTAGGGCCACCAGAATCAATTACCACAAACTGGGTAGGTTAAAACTCCAGAAATGGATTCTCTTATAGTTTCAGAGACCAGAAGTCAAAATCACAGGAACTTTTTTTTTTTTAAAGATTTATTTATTTATTTTGAGAGAGATTGAGAGAGAGAGAGAGAGAGCATGCAGGGGGAGGGGCAGAGGCAGAGGAAACAAGAGAATCCCAAGCAGACTCCCCGCTGAGCGTGGAGCCCCATGTGGGGCTCAATCCTACCACCCTGAGATCATGACCTGAGTTGAAACCAAGAGTCAGATGCTTAATTGACTGAGCCACCCAGGCACCCCCAGCCACAGGGACTTTCTAGAGGTTTTTAATTATAGTTAGTTTATGAGAAATCTCAAGAGAGCCACATGTAAATATGTAGTTTTTACTTTTCCCCATTCAGTCAACTGGATTCTGAAACTCTCCCCTTCTCACCCCTTAGTGATGAGCAGACCTCATAGCTCTCTGGTCCTTTTGAGGTATTAATATCACAACTTAGTTTTAAAATTTTAATCTCCGTCTCCATCTAAAGCTCATCTCCTTTCTCCATATCCTAGGCGGAGCTTATAGCTCAATCTTGGCATATATATGGGAGGTGGACATGGTCTGAGATACATACTTCCTGCCACTCCCTCTTAAAAGACCTGATGTAGGGACCAGGGGTAAGGGGTAGGAAGGCAGATATCCTTTTCTATAATTGTGTTGGTTAAGGTATGGAATGAGGAGACCTCAAACACAGGCGCTTAAATAAGATAGAATTTTCTTTCTTTCTTAAATGTAAGTCAAATATAGTCAGGAGGTCTAGGGTAAGTAGCAGTGTCTACTCCACAAAGTCATTCAAAAGCTCAGACTGGCCAGTTAGCTCTGTTTCCCATGAGGGTGAGGTAATGGTGGGAATGGCTAGTGCCTGGCTCAACTGCTTTTTAGAATGCCCTTAGTAAGGTGCTTGGCCCCAGCTGTTGGCAGCTCTCTTAAGAACATGCCGTATATAACACTTTCTTGTTTTCAGTTTTGGATCCAAGTCATTGGGAAAATTCCAGTCAACACCGTATTATGTAATGAGTAGGACCAACAGATGGGAAGGGAAATTGAAATTGTTGGTGGGCTACTGAATTACATAGCAGATGAGCAACTTAAAATTCTATCCTAAATTTAGATTAAATAGTCATAAAAAAAGGTGTATCATTCATGGTAGTAGAAGAAAAAGCAGAGAATAATGGCATAGATTTATGTCCATTGGTGAAGAAAGTCCACTTCATGGAATATATTCTTTTTTTTTTTTTAAAGATTTAGTTACTTATTTGAGAGAGAGACAGAGACAGAGAGAGAGCACGTGAATGCATGCACAAGTAGGGGGAGGGACAGAAGGAGGGGAAGAGAGTTTCAAGCAGACTCCCAGCTGAGCATGGAGCCCAACATAGGGCTCAATCCCACAACCCTGAGATCATGAACTGAGCTGAAATGAAGAGTTGGATGCTTAACCAACTGAACCACCCCGGCACCCCCATGGAATGTATCTTAAAGAAATAATTGTTCAAACATATCTTAAGGAAATGTATGAACATGCTGTTTATTGCAGGTTGTTTATAATAGCAAAAATTGAAAATAACTGAAATGCCCAACAACAGATTCGTTAAATACATTGTTAATTAAAATATACATTGTAAATAAGATAGAATATTATTTAGCCAATAGTAAAATTGTAGATGATGAGAAGAATAAAGGCAAAAAAAAAAAAAAAAATGTAGGTCAAATTGCATTTCCTTACAACTTGCAGCCCATTGACAAATACTTGAGACAGGCAGAGTATGACATTCCTCAAGGAACTCACAACTGTCTTAGTGTTAATGCTTTGCCACAAGCAAAACAGAGCCTCAGCCTGACAATAGCCAGATCTCCAGGATCCTACTATGTCTTCTTTAACATATGAAAATCCTTTTGGGAACTTCCTTTGTCTTTACCCCCCAACTTAAAAGTATATAATCAATCCTTCCTCACAATCCCAGTGCAGCCCTTCCTGCCCACAGGTCCTGTCCCTGTGCTTTAATAAAAACACCATTTTGCACCAAAAACATCTCAAGAATGCTTCTTGGCCATTTGCTGCTGGGCCAAAGCACATCATTTTGGTGCCCACTGTGGGGCCTGAGTCTTCTCATCTGGACTCCAAGCCTTGGTGCACATTTGGTGAGGACTTCTGCTTCTCTTCCTTCACTTTCATTTCAGGAGCTTTTTAAGGAGTACAGTCTTATTGGAACACTTTTACATTGATTGCTTAGGCTGCAGTCCTCTAGCCTGTGGCTACTCTACGGGAAGGAACAAAAGCCTGCCTTTCACCTGGCAGCTAGTCCTCTGGCTAGAATGGGAATAAGACCCAGAAACTTGAGGCCCTCTCTTTATTCTTATTATTATACAAAGTTGTCTTTCTTGGGCATGGATAGCCACCTAAGTCACTAGGATGGCTGCCAACCTTAAAACTCCCGTATGTTGTTTCCTCCTCACCTGTCTAATAGGATACCCTCCACATCTCTGGTCTAGCCACTCTGGCTACAAGACCTCCACTAGGAGCCGGCCAAAACCTGTACCAGATTGAATTAAAACCCAACCAGGGACCTTTTCCTAGGGAAGTCAGCTGGAAAGACTACATGTGTTGGAATGTCGCTTAGACCATGACAGATTTCTATCTTAACTGTTTTTCCTCAATGTCCCCTCCTAACTACTTACATCACAATGTTGGGTAATTTCCCCTTGTAAAGTTTTTCTAGTGATTTCCATGGGTTAAAATGGTAGGTTTTTCTTCAGTCCATTCACTGGCACCCATTTGTAGCCTAGGATGCAATGGAGAAGTGTGGGGAAGGCCAGCATCTTTCCTACAAGACAAGGCAGTGTTCATAGCGATTTCATTCAAGAGATGCTTCCAGTCATTTTGATACTAGGAACCTCTGACATATCCTGCATGGGACACAACCTGGGAGTCTGGGGGGATTTTCTTGGTAATGGTCCTTCCCTAACACTGCATGGCTCTAGTACTCCTTAGGAGATAAGGAAAAATGGTCCATTAATGGGACATTAAACTTGAATATGATCTATCGTTTAGATCTCTTCTGCAGGAAAGAGGGCAAATGAACTGAGGTACCTATGTGCAGGCCTGCATGACCCTAAATCAGGACCCTGACCTAAGGGCCTCTTGCAGAATGTGTTTGGCCACTAACCAGGATAAGTCCCCTCCCAATACATTGGATGATGATAGTCTAAACAGGCCTCCCTCCTCCTAATAAACCCAAGTTGCTGGAGGAATCACAGGTGATCCCTAACAAAGCAGACACTGACTCTCTCACTGTTCCTCCTCCTAATAGACCCAGGTTATCTTTTTTTTTTTTAAAGATTTTATTTATTTATTTGAGATAGAGAGTGAGAGAGAGAGAGAGAGCACGAGAGGGGGGAGCGGGAGAGGGAGAAGCAAACTCCCTGCTGAGCAGGGAGCCCGACGTGGGACTCGATCCCGGGACTCCAGGATCATGACCTGAGCCGAAGGCAGTCGCTTAACCAACTGAGCCACCTAGGTGCCCCTCAGGTTACTCTTCTATGTGGGGGCTTCTCCCTCATTCATTTCCTGGGTAAAAGGCTATGATAATTGGAGCCAATTGTCTCTGGCTAGTCTACCTTGGGACAGGGACTTTGAGGAATATTCCCAAGCAGCTGCCAAACTCCTTTTGTTTCAGGGAAGTCTCCTATCTTCTCTGGCCCAATGTGGACTGCCTATTTTCACTTGTTGGTGGAAAGAAAACATGTCTTTTCATCTGTCCCAGCTGATGAGCTTTAGGACCAGGAGTCCACTTTGTCTGCCCTTTGGGCTTTTATCCACCTCCAGCCTTGCTGGCAGCACCTCACCTCTTCTGCCTTCCCCTCCCTCTCCTATTTCTGCACCAGCCTGGGTGTGACTTGCATAACTGGTTCCTACACTATCCTGGGTGCCTCCAACACCATTGGCTCCTCCTCCTACCCTTGCCATCAAGGAGTGCACCCCCCTGGACCTACATCACCCACTTCAGATTACCCCACTGGTGCCCCAGGTAAAAATTGACAATGGGGAGCAAATTGATTGAATTTTAAGTGGATTGACTTTAAAGGTGGGACATATTCGGTATTTAAATTAAGTTTGTTAACTTTAATGAAGACAGATCTATCTTTAGAGTTATCAGCATTAAATATAAAAATTTATTCTACTCAGGTTTACTAAAGTCAAATAAGCTCCTGTTATCTCTGTTATAATTTGTCAGCAAAAAGATGACTTAAAATGATGCTTAATTTTTGTCTGTCTCAAGTTTTCATGGGTAATTGTTAAGACAGCTTTCAAAGTCTTTGGTAACCTTGAAACTTTAAAGTTTTGCTTGGATGGTAAATTGGATTGAATTTGTTGGACATTTAAGTCTTTTCCAAATAAGATAAAACACTAAAGCATTGATTACAGAATGTAGGTTTGTGTTTTTGGCTTCTTATTGCAGAAAAGCTGAGGGTACTTGGGTCTGTTGGTAAACATGCTTTGTGCTTTATTAAAATTGTACTAGGGAAAAACATGTTTTTAAAAAATTATGAAATCTACTCATAAATTTCAGATCTAAAGACTTCTGGTATAACAGACAGTTCACAATTGGTTACTACTTAATTTTCCCTGGACACTAAGGTTTCTAAGATTCTGCTAAATGTAATTAAGCCTGATGGAAATAAGGAAAGCAACTCTGTATGTAGGAAAGTAGGAGATATATGGGAAAGATATAAGGAATGGGAATACATTTTATTGATATGAACGTAATTTCATCCTAAAATGAGACTGGTTGTTTGGACAGAAAGGCTTAGGACAAAATCCGAATGAAAAAGAAAGTTGTAGAAGGTTTATGAAGGGAAATCTTTGGAAAGGAATTTTATGTGTGGTCAGGACTGAGGTTGAAATGGATAGATTTTAAAAGTACACGGGTATACTGGGGAGCCTGGGTGGCTCAGTCAGTTAAGTGTCCAACTCTTGATTTCAGCTCTGGTCATGATCTTGGGGTTGTGGGATTGAGCCCTGTGTCAGGCTCTGCACTCAGCACAGAATCTGCTGGAGATTCTCTTTCTCCCTCTGCCCCTACCACTGCTCCTGGGCATGCTCTCCCAATAAACAAACAAACAAACAAACAAACAAATCCTTTAAAAAAAGTACACTGGTATAAAATTGACTCTCTGTTAAAAAGATAAGGTTTTCTCGGATTGCTGGTCTGCTCTTGATAAGAAAATATAAATAGGGCACCTGGGTGGCTTAGTCGGTTAGGTGTCTACCTTTGGCTCAGGTCATGATCTCAAGGTCCTACAATTGAGTCCCACATCGGGCCCTCTGCTCCTCTCCTTCTGTGCTCCTTGCTCCCCTCTCTCCCAAATAAATAAATAAATAAATCTTTAAAAAATAAGCTAAAAAAAAAAAAAAGAAAATGTAAATAAAGTTTTTTTCTCTTTTGTCTGCCTGGAAAACCAAACCTTTTATGCTTTGTCTTTATCAGGTCTTTGATTACTTAAGATGGTTAAAACTTCTCAATATTAATGGAGCTAAGTTTTGCTAACAACTATATAACTCTACATATTTGCCTTTGGAAACTTCTATTGCCACCTTAGTTAAATAAATAAGTTTCAAGTTTTGTAATGATCTGTAATCCTATTTAGGCATGTGCTTTATAACTTTCTGAGGCTTTAAACAAACTTCCCCACGATTTGAATTGTAAGTGAAGTCTTTTTGACTAATTAGGCCTTTTTATTTGGTATGTTAAATTACTTCAGAAGCACTGTTAAATAAATAATGATAACTTTAGGTTATATTGTTTGGGTAAATGCTATAGCTATCCTAGAAATTGTATGAAATTCCTGAAGTTTTAAATATGTTTTGGCATAAGGCCATTACTTGATATTCTGATTATTGAAGTGTTATGTGTCATAGAAATAACTGGATTTCCTTATCAGCTATATTATAATGACCTATCCTATCAGATCTTTCACCATGTCCATTTTTGAGCCTTTGTCATTTATTGTCCTTATTCTCTTTCAAAATGTGTTTCACCTTCAAGGAGATTCATAAAAAGGACTTTTGACAAATATAGGTTTTTGACATTTTTAAAATCATCAAACTAAAATGAGTAAGAATTTCCAAAACTAACTAAAAAAAAGCTGTATTCAAACTGAGCAAGAATTAGTAACACGGGACTAAATAAATTGAGGAAGATGATTATAGTTTTTGTGACTCGCCTTTGACACATTGTTGGTTCGTTAATGTTTGCTCTTCTAGATTAAGGAAACTTTCTCTAAGACATCCATGATATACAGAAATATGATAAAATATTCCTTTGTGAACAGATTGAAGCATTTAACTTTTCTCTTTACCTGAACCATGAAATGCAAAACTCTCAGTGAGTGCTCTTTCTTTCATGGCAATTATAATTATTTGCGAAAGTTCAATAAAAACCGTTCCCTTTATAACAGGACACCATTGGATACATTGGTTATTTTACTGAGGCTTTGACTGGAATGTCATATTGGAGAGACAGTGCGTAGATCAGATATGGCCATACAGCTTTAAGGAAGAAAGATTGACTGTATGAAGCATGAAGACAATAGAGCCCCTTAGACACGTTGGCTTGACACCTTGCTTAACAGGGTTTCCGGCAGCCTTACTAAGTGAGTAAAGAATGTCACTTCCTGGCAGGTGCAGAAACTTCAGGATATTTGGGGGACCTCAAGAAGAGGAATTCACCCAAGTCTACAGGTATTGCAGGCATGTCTGATGTAAGGGGAACAAAGGCAAAAGAAATACAGATAAAATTACATTTCCTTACAACTTGCAGCCTGTTGAAATACCTGAGACAGGCAGAGTATGACATTCCTCAAGGAACTCACAACTGCCTTAATGTGAATGCTTTGCTAGAGGCAAAATGCAAGCTTAGCTTGACAATAGCCAGATCTCCAGGTTCCTAGTAAGGATTCTTTAACATATGAAAAGCCTTTTGGAAACTTCCTCTGTCTTTACGCCCCAGTTTAAAAGTATATAATCAATCCTTCCTCACAATCCCAATGCAGTTCTTCCTGCCCACAGTGTCCTGTCCCAAAAACATCTCAAGATTGCTTTCTTGACCATTTGCTCCTGGCCCACATCACATCAGTAGATAGATATTTACTGACATGAAAAGATATTTATGATATATTATAAATTAAGTAAAACAGGTAATAAAACAGCATACATAGTCTAAAGCCATTTGAGTGTGTGTGTGTGTATGTGTAAAGTGGTACAAACTTTCTGAACAACAGTTTAACAGCCATCAAGACTGCTAAATCATGTTCATTTACATAAAAAAAAGTCTGCATGTTGCTACAAAAATGATACTGGTGTATCTCTATATGGTGAGATTATTGTTGATTTAATTTTTTTCTTTTCATTGATTTGTATTTTCTGATTTCTTTTCAGTGAACATGTATTACTTGGATAATAAAAAAATTAAAATAACTAAAAAATTATACTTGAGAAGAACACATACACGTGTATTTGTTTGACCTTGTTACAGAGAATTTTTTAAACCTAAAAGCAATGTAGCAGGGGTCTGCTGGAGTTTGTATACATTGTGAGAGCCAACTGTTAAATATTCAGAAATTTTGCAAGCAAGTCAGTTGGCAGCTAGAAGTCAACTACTGTGGAAATGTTTACAGGGCAGATATTGGCAAGTGCTACAAATCAGGCTTTTTGGGGGGGGGGTGAGTAACTTGGTTTACTAGACACAACTGAATGATAGTGATAGCAAAGAAAAAGTCAACTCACTTGTTTATATAAAAATATGTACTTATTGATTCAAAAGATAATGAAATGAGAAGTAAATAATGGGGGAAGACGTTTGCAAAAAGTTTGACAGAGAGTTAGTGTCAGTAACATAAAAGAGAATGTATAATTAAATAGAACCTGATAGAGAAATGGGCAAATGATGTGAACAGGTAATTCACTAAAAGATACAAATTGGCAATAAACATGAAACACCATCTGAGACACTTATAATAAAAGAAAATAAAAATGAAACAATAACAAGATATCCTCTTCATGTATGAAATTGTCTCCAAAATGCTACTTTTGTGGAGAATGTGGAGAGTATTCTGACATCCTTGGGGGCAGGCAAATCGGCACAAACTTAACAGAGAGCACTTTGGCAGTTAGGCATCAAGAACATAAAGTTGTTCATGCCCTTTAACCTATTCATTCCTTTCAAAAGTTCACCCTAAGACAACAGTAAAAAATTCCAACCAAGTTTGTGTACAAAGGTGCTTGTTGACATTTTATGAAACTGAAAGAGGGAACCTCTCATCAGGTAAATAGCTGGAGACAAAGCCTGTAATTAACTCAGGTGGCAGTTTCAAAACTTTGGCTGGAAAACTTTAAGTAATTAAGGAAGAATTAATTTTAAGGCAAATGTCCAAGTGATGCCATTTTATTCCCAGCCAACTTGATGAGGCATAATTTGAGCTCTAGGGTCAGGTGGGTAGGAAGAACGGTGGTGTGGGAAAAATAGGAGGGCAGGAAGGAAGCAGAGGCACAGTCCCCAAAGCAGGGCACTGTGGTCATAGCATTGTCCTCTTCCTTATTGATTCAGAAACCATATTCTCTACCCCTTCCTGATAAAAGCACTAAACAAACAAGGACTAGATGGAAACTTCTTCAACCTGGTAAAAATTATCAATGAAACATTCACAGCTGACATCATCTTTAATGATGAAATACTCAAAACTTTCCCCCTAAAATCAGGAACAAGATGAGGATGTCTGGTCTCACCACTTCTATTCGACATTGTCCTAGAAATGCTAACCATGACAATTAGGCAAGAACATATTATAAAAGGCATCCATATTGGGAAGAAAGATGGTATTTTGCAGATAACATGATCTTGTTTGTAGAGAATATTTAGGAAAGCACTAAAAAACTAATTAGAACTAATAAACAGTTTCTGCAAGGTTGCAGAGAAGATATACAAAAGGCCAATCTGCACATGAAAAGGTGCTCCACATCATAAGGCATCAGGGAAATGCAAAATAAAACCATAATCAGATACCACTTCATTCCCACTAAGAAGGCTATAATAAAAGTCAGATAATAACAAGTGTTAGCAAGGATGTGGGGAATTTAGAAGACTTACACACTGCTGGTGGGAATGTAAAATGGTGCAGCTGCTTTGGAAACAGCCCAGAACTTTCCAAAAGGCTAAACATAGTTACCATATGATGCAGCAATTCCACCCCTAGGTATATACCCAAGAGAAAATATGTCTATAGAAAAACCTGTACACAATGTTCACAACATTATTCATAAAAGCTGTTAAGTGCAAGCAACCCAATCATCCATCGACTGACAAATAATTAAGAAAATGTGGGATATCCACACAATAGAAAATTATTTAACAATAAAAAATAAAAAGAAACACTGATACCAGCCTAACATGGATAAATCTTGAAAACATCAAGCTAAGTGAAAGAAACCAATTACAAAGAAACACATACAGATTCCATATACATGAAATGTCCAGAATAGGCAAATCTATAGGGATTAGTACAATGTATCATGATTTTCTAAGGCTGGGGCATATGTAGGAGTGAAGAGTGACAGTGAAGAAGTGTGGTGTATCTCTTTAGGGTGATGAAGTCTTCTAAATTGATTGTGATAATGGTCGCACAATTCTACAAATTACTTAAAGCCATTGAATTATATACTTTAAATGGGTGAACTTTTTTTATGGTATGTGAATTATATCTCAATAAAGCTTTTGTTTAAAAAAGAAGAAAACAACTACAGGTCAAATCTAATTGGCAGGATATTTACAATGCCCTAGATCCAAAAGGAAATACCTGGGTATGGGGTAGGCAGAAACTGCTATTGAGAGTAGGTGAGGAGAGCCTAGAGTCTAAGATAAGAAAGCTCTACTTGGAGTTCGTTCTCTGGGCTGCTATTAACCAGACTTAGGCTTGTCCTCATTTGCATGGCTGTGATGACTGCATCTAGACCTGGGCTCTCCCATAGGGTAGCCACCAGCCCAGTGTGACCATTGAGCAACTGAAATGCGGGTAGTCCAAATGAGATATGCTGTAGGTATAAGACACACACTGGATTTTTAAGACTTAGAATAAAGCACATATAAAAGATCTCATTAATAATGTTTTATATTGATTGCATGTTGAAGTAATATTTTGGACCTATTAGGTTAAATAAAATATTTAAAATTTTACAAAG